ACTTTGCTTACTCGGTAATATCATAGAAATCGACCACCTACCAATTAAATATAAAAACCCACTCATTTCTCTAGCTATTGCCAAGCAAACAATCTTTCAAAATTGGAAATCAAAAAAATCACTACACATAAACCACTGGACCAACCTTCTGACAGAATACATCACATTAGAGAAAATGGCATCCACTCACAAGAATAGTTTATCTGCTTTTTATGACACATGGAACCCATTTTTAACACATTTCAACTTGAATGAAATACCTGGGGCTGAGACCACACACATTCCCACCAACCTCTAAAATGTTACAAGTTAATTTTATTAGTAGTACTGTTCTCATCATTATTATTGAAAAAAAAAATTATTTACTTCCCCTCCTTTTCCCTTTCTTGCATTTCATAAACTGCATAAGTTGGAAATACCCACACTTCACACACTACCTCTTTAAACACTCTATATCCTTTTGTAATGTCATGTAACTGTTGTCGTGTCTCCCATGTTCGGTACTGTTTTGTTAATGTTTCTTTGTTTCAATAAAAAAAAAAAAAGCCTACATTATGATTAACTGTAGTGGTGGAATGTGACCAAGTACATGTATTTCACTCAAGTAAGAAGTTGAGGTACTTATACTTGAGTATTTTTTCATGCCACTTTACACTGCTACTCCACTACATTTCAGTACTTTTACTACACTTCCACGTGTACTCACTGCATTTATCCGACAGCTGTAGGGACTAATGAAGATTTCTGCATATAAAGGATGAGGAGTAGGGATGTCCCAATCCGATACAAAGCATTGTATGAGTGCCGATTCAGGCCAATGTCACAGGATCGGTATCGGCTACAACAGAGCTGATCCAATTCTGATCCATATGTAGAATTACAGTCCTGTATTTTCTGCAGACTCGTGTTTTTGAGACACTTGTGTCACACAGCCTGTAGGCTGCTATAATAATCAGTCCAGCTGCCTACACTGCCTGGGTGTGAGCTGGCACATCACTCACATGTACACCCCAGTAGTTGTGACCTGAAGCCCATTTTTAGCTTCAAGTCTTATTTGTTCAGAGCTGTAAAAAAAAAAATGATGCTACCAAATAGGAAACAGCTGCAATTATTTGTCAATCAACTACTGTCCTATAATCTGTCCATGAACATTTCATTAGCAATCAATGATTAATAACCAGCAATTTTACAGTGTGGTATTTTTACTTCAAGTAAAGGATGTGAATACATCCTGCACAACCACAGTCTGGATCACAATATGGCTGAGCCAGTACATTAACAACCTCCCATCATAAAAACATCTACAGGTGTCTGAGCCAACCCAGTGATCCCAACTACAGCATCCACTCACCTGAGGTCACTGTCGGAGCCAGGAGGCAGGCAGGTAAGGGGGCTGCTGCTATGGCAACAGGAGAGGAGGGATTCCACCACCGAGAGGCAGAACTGAGCACTCACCTGAGCAGACACAAAACACCTGGTGGAGTCCTCGGCACACATGGGTGGAGGAGTTAAGGTTTCAAAACTAACAGACACACACAAATGCACATAAACAGCAGGTCGGTCAGGTAACGGATATTGAGCAGAAGACTGGTAACGTGTGTGACGCGACGGCAGTGCTTCCTCAGGTGAGCATCTCCCTTTGGAGGATCCACACCTTTCAGCAGCTGTAACAGGACTGGGAGCAGCATTTCCACAAAACTCAGCACACCATCAGCCAGGCTCTCTTGTCGCAGCGCCTCCTGGACAGAGAGGAAAACAGACCGAGGACAGAGATGTAATGACAAAGTAAAAGGGTGAAAATCTGGGGGCACAGACAACATTTCCCTGGACCTATTAAACCACGTCCACATGTAAAGTTTCCCAAATCTGATGTCTTTCCTCTGACTAAAACATTAGAACTGAACATTAAGGCGTGATGGGAACAGAGCCTCAGTCATTTTGAGTTAGATTCAAAGCTCAACCTTGAAACTGGAACTAAATAATCTATTATGTAAAGGTCTGCAAAATGAAGCTGAAATCTCCAGAAGTTTTTGAATGCAGCTGTCGTACCTCCAGCAACTCAGTCAGCAGCTGCAGGGCCTGAAGTGAGCAGGACTCGGCACCTTCCACAGGCGAGCTCAGCCACTGCACCAGGGTCACTCCAGACTCTGGCTTGTGCCCCACGTCCAGCCCCACTGCTTGTATGCGGCTGACAGCTCTACATTTGGCTCCTGCCGGTCTTGAGAATAGCACCTCACACAGACGCAGACGCAGACCCGAGACACTGCACATGGCCAGGAGGAGCTCCAATACCTGTAACAACAAAAACTAGCTTCTGTCTTTTCAGTTAGGCCAAAAGTCAAGAAAACATTTGGCAGGTTAATGGAACATGAAAGTAAGTGCAACAGCAGCTCTCAGTACTTGACAGCTTAAATTATTTGAAGTGCTTGGGTCACTATTCTGTGTTTTAGCTGCACAAGTTGTTTTATGATGTCACATTTCCTATTTCCACTTCCAAATCATAACAGCGGCATCAAGATCGGCCCTAAAGCAGGCTGCATCATGAGGAGAGAGACAAAGACTGCTGACATCTGTGGGTTCAAGTCTTCAGGCAGGCATCAACTGAACAGGATTTTGCACTAAATATTACCTGTGATCATTCTGTTTGAGTGCAGGAGCATCTGTACATTTACTCTGAACCACTTCAGGCACTATGTGTTAAAAGGACTCAGTGTTTCCACTGGAAACATTTCTCCATGGTGCATCACACCAAAATCTTTGCCTCCACAGCAAAAGACTTGATAAAACCAATCCATCATTTAATCAAGTGCCTCAGTGACTTGGCCGAGAAGCCCATAAAACACGGCACACCACATACACAGGTGCAATTCAGGCAGAGTGCGCTTGTAGATCTGTTTTTCAGCAGACAGAACTCCATTTTATCAAATGCGTCACTGACACACGTATACAACTATTGTTGTCCAGCACATTTCTGCTGTCGGTCGGCCTTATGAAGACGTTTGTCTATTCAGCTCCTCGGGAGCCGATGACTGACAGCTGCTCTGATGCTGGACCGTTCACGTCTCACTTTCAGTTAGGCTGAGTGAAGCACCAGAGACCAGCGAATTGTTGAGGAGGTAATTTAGCAACCACAAAAAAAAAAACCTTAGATTATGAGAGTCACCAGAAAGAGAATTTGTTCACCTCCATGGAAAGAGAGGGAACATGGATTAGGGACGGAGCTCAGAGAGGGCCAGATGAGGAGAGAAGAGGTAAGTGATCAGGCAGAGACAGTCCCCCTTTATCTCCCACACAGGTCTTTCTACACCAATGGAACCCTGCTTGAGTTAAAGCTGAGATTTTAATGCAGCACACATTATTTTATTTCAGAGCGGATGTGCTGACGTGGACCGCCCGAACCAGAAAACATCCAACTGTGTGTGACAACAAGCAGATTGCAGCATGTACTGGCATTAATCTTTTACAAGGCACTAGGGGATCGACTGAAATCACAACACACAGCTGGGAACTTCTGTTGCATGTCACCCCACCTCTGTCCTCTTTGTTATCACTACTTTTTACTAAATGAAGGCAAAAAAATACTTGCATGACAGAACGGGTCAGTGTTTACTGCAGCTGCAAAGCATTGCATGACAAGGCATAATGTGATGTGCCATCTTTAAGTGACCAACACAGCGAGCACGCTTTAGACACATGATGGTTTCAGTGTGCATCTGTACAGTAAGGTGACTTATGAAGACAAGCACAGTAATGTGTGGCATGTTAACAGCATCTCACCTTGGCTGCAGAGTCTGGGTCTTTTGACTGCAGAAGTCCTAAAACCTGAGACACACACGCTGAGAAGTGCTTATACCTAAAAACAAAAGAATACTTTTTTAACATTACATCACGTCAGTCAGCTGACCATGAAGGAAGGTGTGTGTGTGTGTGTGTACCTAGTCAGAAAATCAGCTATCTTGGGGTTCTTCAACAGGTCAACCAAAAGGTCAACTGAGTATTTTCTTGTCAGAGTACCATCGCCGTTCACAATGATGTTGAAGACAAGCTGAAAAGTCTGGTGGATGTTCTTTGTGTCAAAGACCTGATGGAAAACACACAACAAGTGAGGCTGACTTTGCTGTTGAAAAAAAAAAAAAAAAAAAAACCTTGACATTCATTAAGAAAGTGAATCACATTAATCAATCAATCAATCAATTAATTAAACAGTATTTAATTCTGAAGTTTCCCAAATGCAAGATTGCTTTTCAAAATTTGGGTTTCCTCAAGGTTGCACGGTCATGACCCTTCTTATTTGGAGAGAGAAAGGAATCAGAAAAAAGATGAGTCCAGTATCAATGTGTGCACTTTTAACATAAAGAGGTAATAAAGAAAATTTTTAGAGGCATCACCTGGTCTCAAAGAAAGTGTCTGCCACTCACCTTCTCTCCAACCTTCTCATTCAGAGTAAGGCTGGCCAGTATGGACAATGTGAAGACCACCACGGTCAGACTGTTGTGAGAGAGGAAGCTGAGCAGAGTGCGGTAGAACGGCATCAGCTCCTCCTACAAAACACGCACACAGTGAGAAACATTATTACTCTGAAGCAAACTCACTGATTCACCTTTTTTTCTTTTTTTTTTTTTTTTTTTTTAAACCAGGTAGTCAATTTTCATCTCCCCAAACATGCGACCACTGGAGGTCAGTTTCCAATCAGATAAGGCTACAGATTTATGGAACCAATGTTATTCTCACAGGCTTAAAAACTGTCATCAGTCAAATCTTTGTCTCCTTAAAAAGACTTCTATTGGATTTTTTTTCTCTTTTAAATAGCATACATCTGTTTCAGTTTGTAGGCATATATTTTTACTGGGTAGAGTCGTTTTCCTCTCCTGCATAGTGATTTGTTTTTCCACTGGTGACTGTTGCATTTGTTTGTATTTGTGTAAAATAAGTAAGTGTAGGATGAAGCAATGCAGCAAATTCTAACAGCAGAGAAGCTGCAGCAAAGCAGTGGTTGGCTTTTTTACTCAAAGAAAAAAAAAAAACTTAATGGGCTCATTAAAAGTGCTGCTGATTAACAATCTAATTAATGAACAAATCATTTCAGCTCTTCAGTATCTGACAGATGCATGATGCAAACCTGTTAAATTGATGCCTCATTTACATCCTGTGTAACTTACTGTGTCCAGAGCTTTGATGTGGCTCTGCACCGAGCGGTTGTCACGACACAGGTTGGCCATGAGGCCGAGGCACGGCATGATGATGTCATCATTGCGAGACTGGCTGTGGCACAAGTTAACAAAGTTAGCCATGTTACAGAAACAGACCACAGCCTTTCAGCTTCATTCTTTAACACTAGGAAACATGGCTCTTACATATTCATCATGAGAAAAGTGACAAGTTCCCGAATGTAGTTTGTCGACTGGAAGACACGATTGTTGTAAGTAAGTTTCTGCAGCACCTGTAAACACTGAAACAAATACAACACATTGACTGTTAGTGAAATTATCATGTACAGGTCAAAGACTGTAACTCGACCACGACCAGAGGCACCTTGTCTCGTTTTCCTTCTGGAAAAACAAGACATTTTACACAAGTGAATTCTTAACTTCATCATCTGTTACTTAAAGCACTTCTACAGCAGAGTACTTAAAATGTATATTGAAAATACTGTACACTGTGAAGACATAAGGATGCAGTCATGCCCTGCCTGACGACACTGAACCAACTGCAGCAACAAGGGAAGTTCCAGTTCCTTTAACTGCAGAAGGTGTGAGGAGAGAGGAGCCAAGTTTTCAGAGAAATTAGATAAACTTTCTCTGAAACACCATCTAACACGAAATCTGTTTCTGATGATGGCGGCACAGCTGGATCAGCTGCAGCTGTATGGTATGGTACTGTATATGTATGAACCATCAAATAAGAAGATGGGCCAACACTTCTCATCATCAGCGCAGTAACAGTTTCTTTACAGTGTCTGTACAAAAAATTCACAATTATTTCTTGAACACCTGCATTCTGTACTTACACTGTGTACATATCAGTAGAACTAGAGTGTGTAGATGGCCTTCACTGCTGACACTGAATGTACATATAACATTTTACAGAATATTTGCACCAAAATCTTACTGATACTGAGTTTGTACATTTAAATGATATAATCCAGGATGTTGTTAAAATGTTGTTAGAATGTTTTATAATCTGTAGAGATGATATATTTGACCAAATGTTTTAGAGAAAGAAGAAATTAAGCAAATGTGTCACACCAAAATGTTTCTAATAAGAAGAGTGTTTATGGTGCTTTTCTCAGTCAGACCTACAGATCCACCATTTTCAGTTTGACGGTGAATCAGAAAAACAAAAAAGACCTAAAAGCTATTTGGGAGAAATAAACTACAGTCCACTTAATCGATTATTTATCAATTTCAGGGTCCAGTGAGGATCAAGGACAATCAAAGTGCTGTGTACCCATGGACTAACCTGTAGCACCAGAGGCTCTCCCGGTGTGGCACTGTGGCAGTGGATGACTGAGGCCAGGGCGCTGGTGAAGTTGTAACTACTGTGAAGCATCTCACGACTGTCATCATCAGAAGCTGAAGCAGTGAGCAGGCGGGAAACAACACAAAGATGCTGTTTTAGAAGGAGATAGCAGCTCAGTTTCCTTCCTCTGGAAACGTACTCACTGACCTGGGATTCATTCCTGACAGTGTTTTTTTTCCTTTCTTCCTACTTTTATAGCATCTCACTACGACGTGGCAGTTTTCTTTCTAAAGTGGCACTACATGAGGAGAATAAGGAAGCACTGGTAACAGGTGAGCTTGGAGTTTGTCGCATGAACAACTCTGCTGCACTGGTATTTAAACTATTTGTCTTCTCATCCAGTGATCTCACTGACAGCAGCAGCATCACAGAAATTCCAACAATGCAAAGTGGAGCTTCAAGTCAGGGTTGTTGTTGTTGTTGTCTTGACTGCTGCATAAGAGGATGAGGATAATAGGATAATGACCTTTATTGGCCAAGTATGTTACACACAAGGAATTTGTTTTCGGTACAGAACCAATGGCAGCCATCCACGGCGCCACCTCAACCGACAGCTCTAACCATCGGGGGCAATGGGGGGTTCAGTGTCTTGCCCAAGGACACTTTGGCATGTGGACTGCAGGCACCAAGATTCAAACCTGCAACCTTCTGGTTGGGAGACGACTGCTCTATCCACCACACCACTGTCGCCTCTGAGCCTAATTTTGTGCATCTGACACCTATTGTGTAGTAAGATTAGGTAAGCTCACTGGGTGACAAGCTAGCAAACTGCCAATACCAGACACTGACACTGTCCCCTGCTTCCATGTAATGGCAGCAGAAAGAGTCAGAGCACAGAGATTATGAAGTATGCATGGTGTGAAAGGTGGTATACAGTGTACACAGGTGCACGATACCGAGGTGTGCCAGCATGGAGATGATGGAGCTTGTCAGGCCAGGGCTGGTGTTTGGGTTTCCAACCAGCTCCACCAGGCCACTCACACACTCACGGGGTAAAACCTGGCCTGAGGACAGCAGCAGCTCACATCTTAAACCTGAAACCTCCTGCAAACACACAAAAACACAATAGGTACACTGCAGAGACTGTAGGCTGCCAACACAAATGTATACAGGGACGGTATGAACATGTTCACCTATCTCTGGAGGCTAAAACTAATTTTCATTTTGGTTCAATTCATCCACACTGTTCAGTGACAGGCACACAGTTCGCCGTCACTGCACAACAGCCGCTGAACTCATCTTCCTTCACTGCAAGTGTTTCTCTTAGAACTGAGAAATAAGAACCAGTACAGTTCATCAACACTAATCCTACCTTCTTCAGTGAACATGGATTTAAACTAAACAATGTAGGTACCGTCCCACAGCACCACGACCTATGACCTCCAATAAGTTGACCTCTCTAAAACCGTTGAACAGAAACTAACAGTCATCACGTATCAGTGTTATCAATTGATCTGCAGAGGGTATACTTGATGAACTAATTGATAGGCTTGTGTATAAAATGTCTGTAAAAGACAAAGGAAAGCCCTCCCATCACAGACTCCTGCTCTTCCCAGAATAATCACACTGCAACAACATAAAAATATAAACCCACATTTGACTAAAGGAACAGGAACATGCTCATTTTTTAACTTTATAAATGACTCCAATAGAAGATCAAAATAGTTGCAGATTAATTTTCTACTGACTAAGCAATTATTTGTTTCGGTACTGTTTTTGTTTTTACTTCAAAATTAGGAAAAATAAACTAAACCTTTTGCGTGTACATTATGGAGCACATATTGTTGAAAGGAAGTGACGGCTATTTAAGTAACTTTCAAACACATTTAACGTTACATTATTTACACAATTACCCCTATGTAGCTACCTAACCCGTCCCAGTGTGTCTGACAGGGAGTGCACAGTCCAGCTCACCTCCACTTGCTTCTGTAGCTGCGCTGCGTTTTGCGCTGTCCTGCAGCTGCTGTACTGGTGGATAGCGAGCAGTAGAGACTTCAAACACGTAGTCAAGTCCATCCTGTCAAATGCTCAATCTAAGTTTGGAATAGTGAGACAATATACTGTGCTTTAAAATCAAATTAACTGGTTCATCACCAGAGGTGTTAGCTCACCTCTAACACTGGCGTTAAGTTAGCTAGCTAGCAAGCCGATGTTGTGGTTTAAACGCAACAGTAAATTTAAGAAACAATTTCAACGTGTCTTATAATTTTAACACCTGATCGTGTATTTACGACTGCATGAACTATAGCAGTGTTTATTTGTTATAGACTACCTGTAGTCCGTTTTCTTTCATCGAGGCAAAACCAACCAGCAACACAACAAGCGGTAATAACGTCCTCCCGCTTCGAGGTTTGAACGGGAAAGGAACGGACCATGTACAAGAAAGGGGAGAAACGCCAGAGTACATCTGCAGGTGAAGCTAATATTGATCGATCTAGAACACAAATCAACCGATTATATTATGCCTGTGTTCGAATTTTATAATAAAACCACGCTTTAGCAAATATTAAAATCTCATATTATGTTTTAAGATGACAAAAATCACACCACCACCCCCTACACACACTACTACATGTCTTGGGCGAGGCCACGGGAGAATACACGTAACGTGAGGGAGCGAAGCTTTTCCGCAGCGCTATGACTTGTCAACAAAGGATATGCACAGTAACAATGATGTCGGAATAACAAACTTGATAGAGAAAGTATTTTTCAGAGACAAAATTGCTTGTCACCGAACTGGACTTTAATACGTATTTTAACGCAAAATATTCCGATATCACGTGGCTTTATCTTTGTTTTAATCAGGTGTTGGACCCGGTACTTTTAACCATGCTAACTCTGAGGGACGAAGCAGTCCAAGTAACTTCAAAACAGTGCTGATTTATTCATTGATCACAGGTAAAAATTAACATTACACGCTTAGGTATCTTGCACCTCCAACATGCATGCAGGCAGCTGAAAGACCCCCGAACCACAACAGGCCTATACATTATATCACTTCGGTTGGGCTAGCCCCATTCTACACAGAAACGTCAACCGAGACGTCTCCCGGTGCCAGCTTTGATTTTATTTGGATTTCGTCCTTGTTTCAATTCATACAACAGTATAAAGATGTGAACCTCATTTAAAGCTCAAGCCCCAATCAAATATGTTAGTTTTGGCTGATTGGCCAAGAGTCAGCATGAAGAAATCACAGGTTTCAATGATTCTATCTGAAATCCCCATGGAAAGCGTCTAAGGTGCCTGCAGCACAAGCAAAGTGCAGCAAAGAAAAACATCCTGTCTTCTAACAGTCATCAACTTTCTATCTAGTTATCCTTGACCATAAGCAACCTGCAGTAACTCATGAGCATGACTAAGCATTTAACAACCTGAGCTAGACACCCTGTCTACTCTAAACATTTCTAATACATACAAGTATCTAACCAATATCTATCTGACTAAAAATACCTAACAAGGACATGCCACACATGTTCACGTGACGCCCTGAGAACTGAACATTTTGTGCTTATAAAATCACTGAGACATAGATTCAGTTTTCAAAGAATCATGACAATAGTTGCTGCGTATTCATAGGGTCAGTCCAAAATGTTGAGTTGTTTCCGGAGATGTATCATCTCACTACCTGTTGACCTGACGCCAGAAGGAAAACGTATGAACAAACTACATATTTTCCTGTTTCATCCTTTAGATCTCACACATTTTATACATTTCCCACATTTCTCAGCAGGTGACAAATACAGTACTGTCGCTGATTTAAAACCATTCATGTCATTAAAATCCACTGACATAAAGAGTCTCCTGAATGTTCATCTCTGGCCTGTTACTGTATGAACAGCACTTAAAACTAATTATAACAACAATACTAAAAGTAAAGAAGTCCACTCAATGTAAATGTTTATTCAACCCACACAAACACAAAGTAATAATGTGTTGATTCATGTATTCACTTCAAGCACCCGGCAGTTAACATTTCTGTATTGATGCGAGTCGCCTTCAAAGGGCAGGGGAGGAGGGTGGTTGTAGATCCCCATGAGGAAGATGATGATGGTGCCGAGGGTCATCACCGGGGTGATCAGGAAGAGACAGAGCCGGTCCACGGTTCGAGCGATGCCGCTCCAGTTGTCCTTCTCCTGTGGACAGAGCACCCATTAGAGCTTCTTGTCTAACGTTCACACTGTCATGTGCAGGGTGGGCACATCGAGGCAAATCACACACTGTTCATTCTTGAAGTGAAAGAAGACGACAGCACCACTGCTGCACACAGACAGCGCACATGCACAACAGGTGGTAGGTCTCCCCACAGGACGTCACTGACGTTCAGGTCAGGGGATGGGGCAGCCATTTCAAAAGCTGCTGTTTCTTAATCTTAAAAAACAAAGCTCACCAGATTATAAGTGACCCCCCACCCTACTGCCACTTCGAGCTCCTACCCTCAGGGAAGAGGCGCAGACAAGGAAGAGGCGCAGACAAGGAAGAGCCACCAGGAATGTGTACAGTGTTTTCTCCTAATGCAATTAGAATGTTAAACGGTTTCCCTGGTTCATTGAAATGCAGTCTTTTCTATTACTGTTCCCATTAGTGTAAGATTTGAGTCTTATAGACTCTAGTTACTTTATAAGCTTTAGATACTTTTCATAGCCTTCTTTACCTTTAGTTACCTTTTAGTTTGTTAGAAATTAACAAATCAGTCAGATAATTATTAGACTTTAATGTGTGTTATTAATGCAGTTCAGTAAGATTTAAAGTCTGCTCCTGTGTGCTCCTCTTCAAGGTTAGAAGATAATGTTGATTCTGAAAAGTGTACCTTGACACCAGTTGTTTTCTTGTATTAATATTGTGTAAGAATTATGTCTGAATGAATGTTTTAGTTACACATCACGCATACAACATACACACACATGGAGTTCTTCATTTTGTTATGACTAGGTAATACGCAGCTGCTCCAAGCCTGTGGAGCTCTAGATAAGAGGTGGAGTCTGCTGGACGGACTTCATCTGTGTAAGGGGTTAGCCCAAAACTTATAAATGTATTAGACAGACAGACGAGCAGCAGGTCCGGGAGACATCACAGAGCACATGATGGAGACAAGCGTGATTTTGTTTCTGTTTTCAGCATCGCTCCTGTCCTGTCCCACACTTTGCCACTCCCTTGTTCCCTGTCTCACCTCATTGTAGTCGTTCTTGTCGCGCATGTGTTTGATGATGTAGTTCGCTCCGTCCACAGCTGGTCTGATCTCAGCATACAGCTGCTCCGTCACGCCTCCATCCTCCTGTGGCTTCACAACTGCGAAAGAGCACAATGGCTGTAAGATTTGCACAAAGGTGGCAATTAGTGCTGGACACTTTATGGCGCAAGACCACAGTAAGGACGTGTGGAGTGAAACCCTGCTGGTTCACTGGTGTGACTGCACCTGCAGCGTGCGTGGGCCGTGTCGCTAGCCCGTGTCTCTCAGACTGCTTCTCGAACATCAGCTCACTGCGGGACTTGACGCTGTAGTATTCCTCTGCCGTGGCGATGTACCCCACCGAGCTGGATCGTCGTGGCAACGCTCCGTCCCAGTACGGCTCTGGCTCTGCAGGATGGGACATGTGCAAGATCCGGGGCAACCGTTCAAGGAAGAACTGCAGAGGAGGACAGAGTTCATGTTTCTGCTGACGGACATGGGAACAACTAGTAAAACCTTTCACATTTCGTTTGTCATCTTCATGCCCGACCAAATATATGAAGCAGAAATGTACATTTATTGTGATGTGCTGTGAATATTACACAGCATTTTAGTGCTGATGATTACATTACAATGCAACAGCCTTATTATGTTTTATACCTAACTCTGACCCTGATGTGGGGTGCATAGGCCTAATGGGTACCATTTTAATCCTGAAAGTCAATTTAGCTATTTTATATTGGATTATTAACAAACAACAAATACATGAAAATGTGTTTTAAAAAATTCCAACAGTGAAACAACATTATTGATTGGATGGCCAGGGACCACCTGCAATGCCTTCATGAACCACAAGGGGGCCAGTTCTACAGAGGAATCATCGAGTCTGTTCTCTGCTCATCCATCACTGTCTGGTTTGGCTCGGCAACCAATCAGGACAGGAACAGACTCCAGGGGACAGTGAGGACTGCAGAAAAGATCATTGGTGTGAGCCTGCCCTCCCTCCATGGACACCTCACGGGTCAAAAGGAGGGCAGAGAAGATTTCTGCAGACCCCTCACACCCTGCACACAATCTGTTTGAATTCCTCCCCTCTGGACAGTGTTACAGGTCACTGTACGCCAAGACAACCAGGCACAGGGACAGTTCCTTCCCCTGGGCCATCACTCTGATGAACACTGAACCTATGCTTATAAGAATAACAGCAAATATCACAGAGCAATAACTTATAGATGTGACCACTGTACATAAAATAGCTCATTTTTAATTTGTATATATGTAAATATTTATCAATAGATGGTTATTTGTCATCTAGTTTTTTTTCTGTTTTATTTGGTGCACATCTGGGGCCACTGAGCTGGAGTCAAATTGGCAATAAGTTTATGATTGTTTAACTGATATTCACTGTGATACGGTGACGCTGCAGCAGACACACTCAGTGTGTGTGTGTGTGTGTGTGTTACCTTCTTTGTCCACTCAGACATGACGTGTGTGCTCGGCGTCCTAAAGTGCAGGTTGAGGACGACCACGCAGTTCAGCACCACCACCGTGACCAACACCATGATGAACATCAGGTACCTGACACGTGTGAACACTTCGCATCAGGCAGGTAGAACCACGTCCATCTCTGGGCCCTGTGCTACTATGGTTTGTTCTTAATAGTTCCTGCAGCGCTCACCACCTGAAGACCTTTTTCATACCACAAAGGTCCAGATCCTTTGGTTTTCTCACAGTCGTACCAAAGAGTGACGTGGAGAATATGAGGCCCGCAGTTACATTCATTTACTCACAAGCGTGCCATGTTTTTTTTCATTACTGTCCAGAGGGATCAGCAGGGTTCCCTCTGTTCAACATACAACTAATACAACTGTTGTAATACAAATTGAAGTCCTGAACAAGAATAAATGAAATTTGTTTTGGACTGATGGATGGACAAAACAAGAAAGAAACAGCTGGTGGGTTTACGACTCTTTCATAGCTTCTACTAAAGAAATTAAATTCAATGCTTTATAGGACCTGCAGATTTACTGTATACAACAATAATTTATTGTGATAGAATTATAGTGACCTGGTGACTGAGTCAGATAACCAAAGGAAAAATTAATGGATTAACCAATTAAACATAATAAACTACTTTAGGTTATTGCTAAAATGTACTCTTATCCATTTGGAGCTTCTTAGCCGCTGTAGCTAGTGTTGGAAAATCCACAGTCACACTAGTGTTATACAACCTAACAACACAGAGAAACAGTTCAAACGCATGCTCCTGTCAATCAAAGGCAAGAAAAGCATCCCAGATCTTTTTAACACCTCCTCACACCTTTTGTGAAGGGGCTGCCGTTTTCCTGACTATGAGCTGAAGGGATCTCCTCTTTGAAATGTGTAACTTCTTTGTGAGTTACCAGATATTTTAAAATATTTGAAAAGCTCTGAAATGTCACCTTTCACTAATAAAAAACAAGCCTAGTTTTTCAGGATTTTCTCTTTTTAAATGGGATTTTGTGAGATATTTCAGCTTGTGTCCTGTTCTGTGCTAGGTAAAGATTTGCTGCTACAGCTGATGAACAGCAGCAGGTAGCAACATGGCTGCCACCAGCACCTCAGCTTTGTGCCATCTGTATTTGGTGTTTCCAACATGCACCAGACCCCCTGAGGCTTTCACATGTGGATAGGAGTATGTGTGTGTGTGTTACGTACTTGACAATCAGTGGAACAGACAGGGAGGTCTCTGGCAGCCGTTGAGAGATCAGCAGCAGGAAGACGGACTGAGCCAGCAGCACCGAGATGGACAAGGTCATCTTCTCTCCACCTGCACACACCAGCACAGGGCTGAGTCAGTCATTTCCTGTTTGACGAAGGCTTTAAACTCCCCCCAAAAAACTCCAGTGTATGTTCCAAACTAGTTTCAGAGGCTAGTGTGGACATGTGAGCTTTGTGACCACGGAGCAAGTTGTTGTTGAGTTTTGAATAATACTTCTTCAGTCAAGAAGCCCTGATCACAAAAGCTATGTTTGTGTGATATCAGAAAAACTGGGAAGACAAGGAAAGTGTCTCCTGGTTAACAAAGAAACTGTTTCTTGTGATTTGGGTGAACTGATCCTTTAATTTCCAAATGAGCATTTAGAGGAGGAGAGTGTGCACTGACTGTCAGCGGGCAGGTAGTAGACGAGCGAGGCCAGGAAGGAGATGAGCACACAGGGGATGATGATGTTGACGATGTAGAAGAGAGGTTTACGTTTGATGATCAGGTAGAAGGTGATGTCCTGGTGCTTGTTGCTCTCCTTGGGAATGTGCTTGAAGGTGTTTCTCTTGGCCGGCCGATGGATGATGTCCCACTCACCGTTGTCTGTGGACACAGGGGACATGAAACAGACAGAATGAGGTTCAGATGCGGCTTGTAAGCTGCAGGCCATGGCCTCATTGCTCCCTCTGGACATTTCCGTTTCGGTAAAAACACAGCTGTAAAAAGTTAAGGTGACCATTTTTACAGAAATGTAACTTTTAGCACAGACAGGTCTCAGTGTTTCAACCATCCTGTAGGGAGGCAACAGTGAAAATGTGTAATGTGAGGCATTTCTGAGGGACGGGGACATCAGTATTTCAGAAATCCTGGGCCTGATGCTTCCCACAAAAGTTTGATCCAAAACACTGGTATTCAACCTAGAAGGGGTGCATGTGTGATCTTGTTTTTCTATACTTGTGGAGCCCAAAATCTGTGAGTTACTATCTTCGCAGGAACCCAAAGTCACTTGTGGGGACCTGAGGTTGGTCCCACGGCTAAGTCGTCGAATTTTACAAAAATGATGGAGTATAAGGTTGGAGCAAGTCTCAGCTTTGGTTAAGGGTTAAGGTTAGGGTTAGTCTCCTGGAAATGAATGTCAGTCTATGAAGAGACTCTGTAATTGACGACCACAAGGATGCGTGTGTGTGAGACAGAGAGAGACACTGGGACAACAGGTACCCGTGAAACTCGCTGAGTCAATGACGATCCACTCCTTCGTACAGTTGGTGTCTGTGTCAATCATCAGCAGCATCCTAATCTCTTTGGCATTGTAGGTCAGAGAACTGCAAAGCAACATGGGAAATGGAGTTTAAAACCAGCTGAAAAACCACAATACATTTGCACAGTTCAGTACTTTTCGGTGTCTGAAGTGGTTTTAAACTATGATTTCTTGATCATCTTATTTAAAGGTGCAGCATGTGAGCGAGCTCTAGAAGGATTTATTAGCAGAAACAGGCTATAATATGCATAATTATGTTTTCATTCATGCATAATCACCAGAAAATAAAAATCGTCATGTTTTCTTTAGCTTAGAATGAGCCTGTTATAGCTACATAGGAGGGGGTCACCTATTATGGATGCTGCCATGTTTGTTACAGTAGCCCACAATGGACAAACTACACACTGGCTCTAGAGCCTGATTTCACGTTTTCACATTGAAGTGAAGAAGTACATGCTGTGGATTTGGAGATGGTTGGAAGATAAAGGAGCAGTAACATTAGAAACAAGAGGAAATGTTGCTGTAAGTGTAACAACTATAATTTCTTAAACCGAGGATCAAAGAAGCAAAGACACGAGGAAACAGGACAGGTGATGGCACAAGACGAGGCTAAACACTGGTGTGGCCTTTCCCAGATGGAAATCCTTGATGAGGGACAAATGTTTCCAGAAAGATGTGACTAACAAGTTAACCTGAATGCAAGTTTTGGTTGACAGCTTTAGCTAGAACATGGCCAGTGCTGGGTAACCCACTGTGCTCCAGTCAGCCGCCATTAGAGTTTGCTTGGTCAAGTCGGCCGCACTTGTTTGCAAAATTTGTGCTATATTTACATTTTTCCTATATTCCAAACAAGCATATTGCCATTCAAACATGGCATATTCAGATACACATTAGACTCATGTCACTTACTCAGTGGATATTTGGACACAAGTATTACATTGTCATCAAGTAAACATGGAAACATACTATTTATCCCCGTTTTGCCTCAGCTGTTCTATTTCAATTTATCATTGTTGTAAATGTACCACATCCTGTATGTGACAGTCCGTGTCTGGTTTAAACAACGTACGTGAATTTGAGGGTGCAGTTCTGCCAGTCAAAGGGGAAGTATTTGACGTTGATGGAGCAGGAGGAGTGGAAGATGGCGGGAGGCAACCAGTAGCATTGACCACTGGGGTACAGCAGTATGTTGCTGGAATAAGCCTCCTTGAACTTGGCATCGTTACTGATGGACAGAAAAGGTAAGAAGGGTTAAAACATCCAGATCAGAACAGCGGCAAACTGAAGGTACTGAACAGGTGTGATAATTTAAGAATAATGACAAATAGGCATAGATTTCCACATATTTCCAAAGCGAACAATGTGTGGTTGACAACTCAATCTCAACTCAAGGTTGAGAGGCAGGGTCCAGGCAGGGTCCAGGCAGGGCTGACATGCAGACAAACAACCACACACACCCACACTCACTCCTACGGCCAATTTAGACTCTCCAATCAACCTAAACTGCATGTCTTTGGGCTGTGGGAGGAAGCCAGAGTACCTGGAGAGAACCCTGTATTATAGGAATATACTGTGCTTATTACGGATGCCATATGTTGGGCATTTTTTATCTGCACACGAGCAAAAAAAAAAAGAAAGCCTCACTTGTTTTCCAGTACAATCTCTGGGAGCCACACCAATCTGGGCGGCAGGCGAAGCACCCCAATGCCATCAAACTCGGTCGAATTCCATGACAGCCGGTAGTCGACCCATGTCTGTCACATACAGACACTGGAGAATAAGTGTTTGGGAAATTTTCTCTCTTTGTGTAGAAAAAGTCAGCCTTAATTTAAAATAAAAGAATATAAGAATATCAAAGTGTCATTTACTTACATGTTCTATCCATACGTTTGTCAGCAGTGTCTCGTCGACTTCTTTCTACAAATGCAGGGGAAGATAGAAACGGACTATCAGAGTTAACGGAGACTCAAACCCCACGCCAGCCACTTGAACCTAGACAAGCCATGGTGTAAACATTTTACACTGGTCTACAGTGTTGGATCAGTCTACATGTACAGTAGTTCTTAGATTAGTTTAATGAAAGTTAGACAGCTGCACAAAAATAGACTTTCTGGCCCTGTTTACAAGCAGTAAAGATAACGTTGTTCTCACTGTCTGTAACCACCAAGACTTGGCCTTAGATTATATATTTATCCACAATTTTGCTTTCACCACTGGCTATTTTTGCTTTTAGTTTATGCAGTTTGACACAGTGACGGCTGCAGTGATGTCTGAGTGACGTTCTGTTAGCTGGATGTGAGTTGAGGGGTCAAAGGTTGTGCCATATACCTTTACAATAAATGTTTTGATTATTTAGGTTTGATAAAAAAATATGCTTAATTGGACGTTTGGATGCGCCTTTATTTATTTATTTCTTAATTTAAACTACATTTATTTCACTTGCTACTCATCTACATTTAATCTATTTTTACTTGTAAAATAATATAAACCAATTTTTTACTCATTACACGTTTTTTTGCGGGTACCTGAGCCAGTGCAAGACCCCAGATCCAAATATTTCCAGCACATTTTCAGGTGCTCAGCGCTAACGTGTGTTTGATGACATTTCTATGACTAACTGTTAAAAACTTAATGATTGCAGATGTTTCTGGTACACTCCTGCTCCTGTTTAGAAAAAAGGTTATTGTTTACTCTTTAATCGGTGCAATGTAGCCTACCTTTAAACCCCCAGTCATGGTGAATACTATGTACATTTGCCTGTTTGTAAGAAAAGAACCAGTTTTCTGACAAGCACTGGACACAAAAAAATGTTCAGTACCAGGGAGATGAGATTAGAGAGCGTGAGGCTGAGGTAGATGTCGACAGCATCCTGCTGCTTCTCGACAGGACGCAACTCTTTGTTGTATTTTCGCTCTCTGAACAGGTGGTTGATCAGACGCTCCTCCTCGTTCCTGCCCCAGCTCTCTGACACACACACACACACACACAGAAAATGACATCTCAACATTTATAATATAATATTGTGACACTTGGGCAATTCCATGTGCAGAGGAAGATCCTGTCATATGACTGAAAGCTCCAGAGCAGCCACTAAACCTCACCTTCTGTTTGTAGGTGATCAATGAACTTTAAACCCCGTTCAAAGCAGCAGTCATTCACAGCAATATAAAATATAAATCAGAATCATATGTGATGGCCAGGTATGTTAAAGGACACAAGGAATTTATCTCCTGTACAGATGCTCTCAATGTGTTTTTGTAAGGCAACAAGACAGTGTGTGCATTTAAAATAGGAAGAGAAACTATCTATAAATATATATACTCATATACACATCAGGGGGGAGAGGCCCTGGGGGAAGACCCAGGACACGCTGGAGAGACTATGTCTCTTGGCTGGCCTGGGAACGCCTTGGCATTCCCCCAGAGGAGCTGGAGGAAGTGTCTGGAGAGAGGGAAGTCTGGGTATCTTTGCTTAGACTGCTGCCTCCGCAACCCGGTTCCGGATAAGTGGAGGAAAATGGATGGATGGATGGATGGATATACACATCATGGTTTTCAGATTGTTATGTACAACAGTTCTATTTATGATTTACTGCACTGAGGGCTGTTGTCCTGTTATACAGTCATGGGTTCAGTGTTCATCTAAGTGACGGCCCAGGGGAAGAAACTGTCCTTGTGTCTGGTTGTCTTAGTGTACAGTGACCTGTAG